ATAGAAAAAACGTTTACATCTTACGATTCTCGTTAGGCACATATTCCTTCTTCTTATTTTTTAAGCTACCCGGTTAACTGGGCACTGCAACCACCCGATTTACCTGTAGATTACTCGATAACTTCCCCGTATCTAATGCATTTCATGTCTGGAACTAGCTGAACCAGTCGGTTAATTGCCCGGTTGGAGCTAGATCGATCGGTCAGTTAAGCAGGCGATTAACCTAGCTGATAACCTCCCTGTGTTTAATTTATTTGATACCAGAAACTAGCTTAATCGATCGGTTAAGTGGGCGGTTGGAACCAGATCAGACAGAGCTAGCTCGATCGGTCGGTTAACCTAGCGTATTACCTCCCCAACCGCCCAAAAGTAGGTTGAACCGCCCGATCCTAGGTTAAACTTTTTAAGTTGGATCTAGCTTAACCGGGTCGAAAACCGTGTTATCTAGCTCCAACCGCCCGATTCTAGCTCCATTTTTTTTGCTTGGGTACGGGAATACAAGACAACGGATGGTATATAGTTCTCGTGTACTCAACGTGGGCTATTAGACAAACAAGTTTGCATCTTGGCCAAGAACTTTTGGAGAAAAGTGCCTCTCTGACGAAAATACCAATCTGAAAAATGAAATCCACATTGGCGATCACTGTGCGTTGTTTTAAAATTTTTTAAAAATGACGTTTGTCATGAGAAGCCCGAGTTGTACTAGTTCTATTACTCTCCAACATTCGGATAAAGCCGATGTAAACTCTGGCATGCTTTCAAAAGAATCACCCGATATAGAGTATTGCGTATGAAGAGTAGAAAAAAAGTACAGTAGTTCAAAGTGCATATTAACCTTGTTAATGTTTTTGTCGCAAGCACGAAAAAGAAAATAAATAACAGTACTCGGAGCATTCCTATGTCGTCAAAACCGGTTAAATACCGCCTGGTTACCGCTCCAGTACCAGTCTATTACATTCCCTGGTATACCACCCGCGGAACTGAAATTACCACACAGTCTACCGAACCACGCGGTACACTGGTCGGGTTTTTCTTGTATGGCGGTCTGAAAAAAAGCGTGCGGCAACCGCCGGTAGAAGAAAAAACCGGTAGTTATACTGAACGGTACGGTTAACGAGTGGCTATAGAACGATCGATGACTGGTGGTATCACGAAAAAAAGTGCGACATGGGTTACTATATTCAACAAATATTTCATACCGCAAACTATTTAAAAAAATGTTGAAATCAACACTTACGATATAATGGTTCAAAATTATCTTTGCTAATTGTCCCCTGTATTGCTATTTCACGTGGTACTTTACCACCGTTTTGATACATTTTGCCCCATTTTACTTCACTTCTTAATTTATAAAGATACTCATCAGCTAAGTCTATTGGCAGTACATTTATTAATAAATATGAATCATTTGAACCATAAACTTTTGGATAATATCCAGAATAGCGGTCCGCTGCATTTTTTGTGCTTGTTGTTTTACTTGCTGTCATTTTCATACTTCACTGATATTATTCTCTACTACTAGAAAAAAGATAGTAATGCTGTATTAGTTATTGATATGTGGTGTATGTTCGACATTTATAGTATCTTTCAATTCATTGCTTCAAAAAATATAAAGAGAACGAAATCATCGATAATGACTTAAGATTGTGCAATAATGATACATGTTTTTTCCACTTTCGTCATTTGTTTATTTGTACACTGTGATGGCGAGTGAGCAGTTCATGAGTTTGCAAGAAAATATCTGAAATGTGTATTGTGCTAAACCTTTTACAGATTGAAACCATTTTTCTTTTCTTATATTCTTTACAAGCTTTTCATGTGTCACATAGTAAATAGTAAAGTTACCTGGCGAATGATGATGATTATTTTTCCTTTTTCACTCAGAAAGAGTCCGTGTGTGAATTATTCAGTTTCGATATGCGTTTTGTTTTATTTTGCCAAAAACTGACGACCCTTTAGGTCCTTACAGTACACTGAATGAAAATGTAGAGAAGAGAAATAGATAACAACATTAATAACAATATTATACAACAATAGTAATAAAAGACACAAAACTTTAACATTAAGAGAGTTACCTATAGTCTGAGAACAGAAAAACATATGATATACACATAATAAAGTAATTTTTTTTATTTTATACAAGTGAGAGTACTTTTATATCTTTGTTAATACAGAAAACAGAAGATTAGCACAAAAACGACTCAGGAAAATTTTGAAGAAGTTCAATCTCTCCTGTATCGTAATAAGGAATTGAGACAACAGAAGAGTTGGCCGAGATCCGCTTCGAACATTTTTTTATCACTGGGATGTTCTCTACGTATCTTTTCGACACTCTCAAACATTTAATCTCGAACTCTTTCTGAGCCCAGGCCAGTCTAAATTCGATTAAAGATGCACGTATTTTCGATACACGTTTATTAACACACTTACTAAATTTTTGAAAACTACAAAAGCATATCCAGGTCCATGATTACGACCGTCCTGTACGGTCGTATACGTCCGATTACGACGACGTAATTTGATACTGTAATTTATACTGTAGCATTTCGTCGTATTTTGACGTAAACCCGGACAACGTATTACGTCAGCTGTTACGACCGTCGTATTTCGTCGTATTTGAACGTAAACGACGTCGTTTACGATGAACGTAATACGTTGGCCGGGTTTACGTCAAAATACGACCAAATACTATAGTATGTGGTCATGAATCTTTTTCCTGGGTACACAGAATGTACCATTTTCGCTTTATTCACTTAAGTGATGCTGTTGAAAGTAATATCGCTTGAAGTACTTCAGTGTATCGAACCTTTTTAACAGAAACGATAGAGAGTAAACCAGAGATCTTTTTCTCAATAAAAAAGGAGAAGGAAAAAGAGTTATTCAATGTTCAATCACTGTACATCTCATATATAAATGTTGTACCAGGAAATGTAGGAAAACAGAGAATGTGCACATTCCCTACAAAAGAAATCTATGGAGAAATTAGGACTTCCGATCAGGTCTAACCAATGTTCCATGTGTTTTGAAAGTTCCCAAACATGAAGTTTAGCCGGTTCTGGAAAATGCCCATGTGGAAGTAAGAATTTGGAACTTGTGTAGTTATAAAGAGGACAGTCTAATTCTCACGAGAATAATGCTGTTTTGTGTGAGAATTATGCATGTAGTCTAGAAGAGCTTATGCTCTCTTCACGAGAATTTTGTGTCCCTTTTTAAAAACTTTGTTGCCTAGGTCATGGGAATAATGCTTTTATACAGGACTTATGCTGTTTTATGTGAGCATAATGCATGTAATTAACAAGATATCATGCTAGATTCACGAGAGTTTTGTATCTCTACATAAAATACTTTCTCGCTGCGTTACGGGAATAATGTATTTATATGCGAGTTGTGCGTAATTCTCACACAAAACAGCATTATTCTCGTGAGAATTATGCTTTTTTATGTGACTGCATGTGATTAGTACTTAGTCAGGAAGTACTACCTCAGCAAGCACCTCATTGATTTTACTTGTTATCTCATGAGAAAGGTACATACTCCGCTGTAAGTACTTGTTAAGGAAGTACGGCAGTGTAGTAAATAGTAGGTGCAGCTCTTACTGAGGGAGCGCTTCCGATCACATAATAATCTCACAGCACTTAATTCTATTCTGTATTTATAGCGGTATTTACGTGTGATGAAAGTTAAGCAGGAACCGCTAAAAACAAAGGTACTTTCGTCATCAAAATGTGAATTTTCGTCAGAGCCACAAAAAGCACTCTAAAATTCACGGGAATTTACGTCACCATGCTTTTTTCTGAAAAACGCACTTTCGTCACATGTGACGAAAGTGCCTTTTACCTAGTTATACATGATGAAATATTTGTATTACATCATTATTATTGCTCAATCAACAGAGAGAATAAGCAGAATTACATCTTACTTACTTTAAAAGAGCACAGAGGTAAAAATACCTGTATAGGACATAAAAACAATACAGATCAAGAAAAAAGAAAGGACGGATTGATAAATATCGCGCGAAAATTATAAACTGAACAAATGACCCAAATAATCGAAAATCTGTTATCTGTTGAGGAAGCCAACTCAGCATTGAATGCTTTAAGACCGAAAGGTGGTGAAATTCAGTATGGACAATATTACGCTTTAACGAATGATCATTCACTTGTTCGTCTTCCGCGATTGATGGCATTTCAAGCAAGTGTTAACTCGTCTGGCGATCTTCCCTGGTACAGATGTACGATGTCATCTGTTCCTCAAAACAAAATCGTTTACATACCATGGACATCAACTGTTCAAAAACTTAAAAAATTGGTAGAAGAAATTGCGGGTGAAACTTGGAATTTGGCTCACATTATTTATTACAAAGATGGAGAGGAAAGTATGGGAATGCATAGTGATACTATGCTGGATTTAGCACTTGGTTCTAAAATCGCAGTTGTGAGTCTTGGAAGTAACAGACAATTAGACTTGATAAAAAAACAGACAAGTACATCAAATGGACCATCACAAATAAAATTAGATCTTCCTGGAAATTCTCTCTTCTTATTGGATGAAGAAACCAACAAACATTATGTACATGGCATAAAAAAGCAAAAAAAGAACCAAGTCGAAGATAGAGTTGCAATTGTATTCCGACACGTGGTAACGTATAAGGCTGAAAATGGCAAACTGTATGGCAATGGATCAGCATATTTAACCAAACAAGATATGATTCAACGATACACAAAACTGAAGATGTTTAAATGTGGATTTTCGTTCTTTCTTTCCGCTTGTATCACCTGGCTGTTTCCACTGTTTTCTGTGAACTGGTTTAATTTAGCTACTGGTGGAGTCTACTGGTTTTTCATCAGTCGTATTATTAGACAAATCGAACAAGTTGTAGGTAACTACATGGACAAGATCGAAAATAAACGTCTTCAGGAGCTTTGTCAAATAAAAAATTTCAAAATCTGGGATCAGACCCACATGCGAGAGTTTTTGAAGTATTAATAGTCTGTGATGTCATGATTGATCTTGCTTTCAGGTCAGTTGTACTACTCGCTCATTAATGAACCAATATATGTTTTTTTCTTTATTTTGTTCGCGCATCGTATTATTTTTGTTAAACAACGGTAAAAGCATGCTTTTACTCATTTCACAATAAAGTTTATTATATTTTATGGTTACGAAAAAACCGTTCATATTTACATCCGAAAAACGTGACTCTTAGTTCGCTTACTTCCTATAGTGTCGAATGTTGTGCCAAGCAGAGCCCTGCAGGTTACCAGTTTTGGGCAACCTATAATCTAACCTATACAAAATTTGGCAACATAATCCTAACCTAACCTATGGATTCGATACCCTAATCCTAACCTATAATTTTTTTCTTTCCGATTTCGTGCTTATTCGTTGACGACATTTTTGAGGTTAATTATACGAAGTATGTGTAGAAGTATAGAGAAAAGGTAAAAGGAAGTAAAGGAAGCAGGAAGAGAGAAAATAATAGAAACGAACATAGTTGGCACAAAATATTGTCCAACCATTTTGCAGCCTATTGTCTTAAATAAGGCAATCCGACATAAAGAATAAGAACAAAAATGTCGTTAAAATCAGAAAAAAGTTTTCACTAGGTTAGGTTAGGATCAACCTGCAGAGCTCTGGTGCTAAGATAGAATATAATATGCTGGTATTAGTAAAAAATGCGAACAACGACGGACATCCAGTGAGAAGCTCAATTATGCTCAAGTTTTTATTCATACATAATCAAGAACTGTTAAAATAAATTTACTCATCAGAAAAATACAGTCATGTTGGCAAAATGCCACGGATGATGAAGCAAACTGTTTGTTCTTCATATTCGCTTTGTTTTATTTTTGTTCTTGTTAGTTTCTTAAAAAAGATCTGTGTCTGTTTTGTTTATACTGTTAAATGAACAGCTGAAAAATACCGGTAGAATAAACTACGTGTGATTAGCTTTCTCTCTTTTTCTTTGTTTCAGTTGTAAGACAGACCTACTCATTAACTTATATATCATCAGTAAACCAAACAGAAAAATTAAGAAAAAGACAATAGGACATAATTTACATTTATATCTTTTAGTTCATATATACAACAAGCGAATCGACTTCACAGGCACAAGAACATAAAACAATAAATAACATTACAAATAAAATTTTGAAGATCATTCACCTTCATTAATTTGATTCTTTCTGTTCACTGCTGAAATATTAGTTAGAAATCTTTTCACCGATGCCTGATTACTCGGCAAAATTTTTAATGCGATCTCAAGAGGCTTTTCTCTATAACTCTTTACATGTTTGAACATTACTCTGCAGTAGTAATACCCAAAAAGTGAGTGTTCGCACTTCCAACCAGAAATGAGTTACCTACCATTTTGTAGAGTTTTGAAAGAGCTTCTTTCGATATATAATGTAGATCGCAATGTAGGTTCTTTCATGGTAAAAGCAATAGAAGTACTATTGTTGGCTATGCTGAAAAGACCACATTTTAACAGTAGTTTCCAAAAACGTGGATGTTCGTGGTGTATATCACAATTGAGCAATAGACAGTTTTGTTCGTCGTTTAAAGCTACATCGAATGGTATATAAGACTTTTCTTCAAACTGGTTGTGTTCTGAAACTTACGAAAAACGCGTCGGAATTGTCCAAAGTTGGAAATTTTTTCTGACAGATATGAGGTCCGAAGGGGAACCATGAGTGTAGAACTCCATAAAATTGTATGCTCTTTCATTCTAGATACCTTTCGAGAGGATCTGAATGGGGCCGATCCTCGTTCTTATTGCACCCGTCTTTTAATAAAATTGTATATCCTGGAGAAAGGAAGAAATTCAGAATTTCTAGAATTTCACAATCCCAGAAATTTCAGAATTGCATACTTTCGAGAAAGGGAGAATCACAAACACTAGAATTTGTGATTATGAAATTCTCTCTTTCTCGAGGGTATGGAATTCTTACATTTCGGAGATTCTGAAATTCTAGTGTTAGTGATTCTATCTTTCTCGAGAGTTCGGAATTCTGAAATTCCTGTCGAATCTTCGAGCATTCATTTCTAAATGTCAAGATGATAAATGGAGAGGAGATCAGACATCATCATCGAAACGAAAAGATGAGCTTGTCGAATGGTTAAGAGATCGTTTACCATCTAACTGCTCGATTATCAGAGATAAATATGGTGACAGAATTCAACTATTGATTCTTTAAAAGATAAATATGCTCACACTCACATTTCGAGCTCTTCTTATCTCTTTCGAATGACTCCTGTAATAGATTTTCTCTTTGAAAGTTTCTGCAGGGATCCTTAATTTGATAAATAAATATCTTTTTTATTTGAGAGAAAATGATGATGCTACTAATTAGTTTTTCTGTTTCGTTGATAAAGGTTATGTTGAGAAAACAGCGTTGAAATTCTTCAATTTTTATCTCTATTTCGATGTTCGACACAAAAAACTAACTACCAAGTTTAAGTTGCTATTCAAATTTCAATCATATTCAAAGTTTTACTGCTCTCCAATGTTATGTGTGTACACGGGATGTATAATATATGCTTTTCACGTGCAGCTAAGGTTTCGTCATGTGGTGACAAGTGTGAGAATTCAAATTAACTCTTCTGCACATTGTAGTAAGCCTTACACAGAGTAACACAAAAAAATCGTTTTTCTTACACCTCAATTATTTCAGGTAAGCTTTTGCACATGTTGTAGAGAGAAATGTTTGATTTTTTTTTGGCGTCCTACTGATCAAGTGATGCATTGAAGGGGACACCAAGGCTTCCACCTGTGTTTCAAGGTTTCCGACGGAACACTGTGTAACACAAAGAATGATCTTTTTTCATCTCTCTCTCTGGCCGGTGACACGAGCGTTTTTTTCCTGCTTGTACGATTTTGCCATCGACGGCACGAATATTGTATTTTTTCTTTTTTGTGCTTGGAGAATGAAACAGTGTTATCGTTCATATTTCAATGAGATTACTTTGTTTCGCTGTAAGCCGCCTTCTCACTACCTTCGAAAGCAAATCAGAATTAGAATTTCAGAATCTCAGGAATTTCTGAATCTCAGAAATTTCAGAATGCCATATTCTCGAGAAAGAGAGAAATTCGAAATTTCTAGAATTTCAGATGTTCAAGAACTTCAGAAACACCATATTCTCGAGAAAGACAGAATTTCAGAATTTCAAGAATTTAATTTAAACCTTTATTAAAAAGAAAGTATAAACCTGAGCACAAAGGATTAAAAACACACTTTAGCACACTATACACAGAAACGCACACATGTAAACATACTGTAAACTTAAAACGATTAGTCATATATATAAACTTTAAAACAGAATGATATATCTGTATCATATCTTCATATTTCATAGAGTCATATAGCACAAGTAATGACATTGTTATAGTTGCCGTAGGCATTATGTCAACAATCTCAGAGAATAGCAGTTTTCGTTGGTTTTGGTATGAAGGACAATGGAGGAAAAAGTGTTCAAGTGTCTCATTCACACCACATATATAGTACGGGTCAGCAGTGAGATTGCTAATGTACAAAGAAAGGAAAAATTTGGTCTTAGAAAGCAAACAAAGCTCTTATTTTGCATCCCTAATTCTTTCTGGGTATCCAGGACGCTAAACTATCTCATTTCAGATGAAAAAATCCAGAAAAGTCCAAATCAAAAAAGGTCGGTATTTTCGGTATCGGTATACACCGAAGCTCGATATTTTCGGTACTTGCTATACTGATACCGGTGCATATCTATTCCACACTCTCGAGAAAGAGAGAATTTCTGAATTTCTAGAAAATTTCCCAATGTGAGGAAAAGAAACAAGCGTTTATTATTACATTTTGTAGTTAAAGACAAAAATAATTTTGTAATCAGTAACTATCAAACGTAGCTTAGGAAGTCTAAATCTATAAAGATTTTTATCTTTTACGAAGATCATTTGAGATAACTTTTGTACTTCTAAATAATTACAGATTGCATGGAAAATGCTTAAGTTTACAATGACGATATTTTAATTCGATCGATGTAGTTTAATTCTTCTATATTTGAATAAACGATAACCCCCCATCGCAATTGATGCAATAACGATACATGACGAAAAAGCGGCGACCACAAATAATGCACGTGGATGTTCTTCGAGTCCACTAGAAAGATTCATTCCGTATATAGCTGTAATGAATGCTCCAAGTCCGAGTCCCATTGTAATTATATTAATTTGTATTTCAAAAGCTAAAAGTTGATTTCTGACGGCATCAAGCATAAATCCAGTTGTACTTTCGATATTCTGAACAGAATCTTTCAGATCGTGAACTGATCGGCAAACTTCAGCCATTTGTTTAGCACAAGATTCGAGTAAAAGTTCAACTTCGCTCAAATCAGAAGCATCTTTTTGTCGATTTTCAGTGAGATACATTCCGATCATATCTTCGTCATAGGTGAGTATATCAAGCCAAGCTTTATGTGCAAGATCAGCATTTCGTTGATGTTTATCGACTTTACTTTTAATAAGTGCAAATTGACGAAGATTTCCAAGAGTTATTTGATCATAACTACTTTGACGTACTGTTTCAAATTCCATGAGAATATCATGTGTTTTCAATGTCAAACCGTAAGCGATCGATTCTCCGATTATTTCCATAATTCGTAATTCGAATGGCAGCTGAGAAAATGCTTCCGTGTTTTCTGTGTCGAATCGTTGGTTGTAAAGTTCATGAACATATCGAACATTTCGATGATAAGCATGAATGATTTTTTTCCATTCATCGACATTCTTTATTTCAAAAGGTTCATAAGGAATTTTTTCGTTTGATGGCACGAAGAAAACAGTTCGATCGGACTGGACAAGAGCTCGGTGGCGTCGAAACGAAAAACAAATCAATTTTCCATGGCGAACACTGATCAGAGGAACATTTATGTGAAGATCAGTATCGATTTTTTGTAAATCTCGCGGTCCGACATTATATTCACGACAGATTTCAGCTCGATCAAATGGACCACGACGAACGCGAAGAATACCGTCTGATGTTAATATGTGAATATCGCTATGTAATTTATGTGAATCAACAGAAAAATTATCTAATTGATGTTTTGATCTTCGCGACTCAATTGACGATTTCGAATGAATACAACGAACACCAAAACAACGATAGTTTCCTTGCGTATAGTTGAGAAAGAGTTTCTTACAATTTATTGTACAAAGTTGCTTGGAAAGAGCGGACAGAAAGAAACACATTGTCGATAACAACTACTTTTTCTCAGCGAGCAATCATTAACGCCAAAATCGAACAGACAACACAAATTGTATCCTTTTTCTCTTCAACACAGTCTATCACGCGGGAAAAGAACGACAATTTCTTTTCTTTCCTTACTGCATAGAAAGAGAAGAATGTGACACAACCTCTCTTTCTAGTGTGTACATCTTTCGGTAGGGCTACTGACTCTTGTTTCGTTCTGTCCGTTGTCTATTTTTGTTCTTTTGCCGTTCTTATCTTTTATGATGCAGTAGTAAATGTATATATTAACTGTTTTTCTTTTGTTAGAATTAGTTTTTTGTAGTTTGTGATAGAGAGTTGTCGAATAAAAGAGTGATACTACGTATCTTAACGCACGCATACAATCAACTCAAGGACCTAAAATTAGAGGAAATATAAGTCACCACACTTGGCGATCTCGTCTTGCCGAACCTTCTGCTCTCCTGCTAAGTATTTTCTTTTCTCTTGCAATTTTTTTTTTCCATTACGTAGTGTTTTTCCGTTCTCTTTCCATCTGTTCGGTCAGTTGGGTAAGTCGCATTGGTCTTTATCATGACTGAATTTCCTAAGTTACCCTCAACCGAAAGATCCATCCAAGACCATCTTCAAACGCTGTTTGATAATAATGATTCTCAGACGGTACAAATGCAGGAAATACAGGAACAAATTGACCGTACGAACGAGCATCGCGATAATATTCTTCAGTGTGCACTCCACGCCTTAAAGCTGAAACTAGACGAGACTTCCTTGGTTACTCAAAACCATTTCGCTAGCCTGGCTCGAACATCAGAGGATAATCTTCTTGCACTACGCTCGACCATGTATGATTATCCCTCCGTACCTTTGCCTCCTCTGAACCACTTATTTTTTCCCCCTCTACGCCCTTCTTCCAATACTTCTCCTTACTGTTTCCCTAGTGTGCACTTTGGGACATGTCATTCGAACAGGGACAAGAAGAAGTGTCATTCGAACTCGGTGATTTTGTCTTCGTGGGTACTGAACATCGTAAGCTCCCCGCACAAATTACTCAAATTCTCTTTCTGCAGGACAAATATGAAATTGATTTCTAGGATGGCTTATCAATCGTACATACAGCTTGTCCACCTAACGCGACACTTCGCTGATCAAGTATTTTTTTCAAAAGTAAATAAAACCGTTTATGCCAGGTTATAGAGCATAGTCGAAAGTGTCAGAAATGTATTTTCTTTTATTTCAAATGAGCTCTGTGAGTCGTTACACGGTGCGCAGTAACTTGAAGGAACGATGCTGTTCGTCACATCTTTTGTGCTCTTGTTTTCAAATTGATAGTGCGATCCACTGTTTTGCTCCAAAAAAGGGATAAGCAATGGTATGTAGACTATCAAGTACGGCCTTTCTTTTGACGCTGGAATGAACTCTTTTCGTTTCTTCCTCACTGCGGTATGGGCAAAACAATACTTGATAATTTCGCCTGTCACAGCGTTACCAAAAGACGTTTTTCTAAAAAATTTAGTAAAAGCAATTCACCATTTCATTTTAAAAAGTAGTGGACTGTAGCCAGCTTTCCACGACGATTCTAGTGCTCTATTTTTTTCTCGAAAACTCGCATCTGGAGGCAGATAGCGGTAACGCTGTGACAAAAACATGATTGTTGGTGGTTTTTCTAGTTTGTGACTGACTGCTTGTTTCGATAGTACAAACAAGGAAGAACGCTCACACAAAGTTTAAACTCGCTTTGAGTCCTTTTCTTGCTCAAAACAGTGATAGAGATCTCTAGTAGTTTGGCATAATTCCTAAACCGACACACCAGCGTTCCTCTCTTGAAATTTCTGATAAACTGAAAAAAGCTATTCACAGTTTTTATATTCGTGATAATATTTCATATCAATTACCTGGTAAACGCGATACGATTGTTGTAAAGGATGAATTGGGTAATAGAACAACACATCAAAAAAGAATTTTGTTCAATAATTTACGTGAAAATTATGAAGTATTCAAAGAGGAGAACAAAAATGTTAATTTAAGTCGTGCTTCTTTTGCTAATTTGCGTCCAGCTTTTGTTGTTCCAAAGGCTGCTTTGGCTCATCGCATTTGTGTGTGTGTATACCATGAGAACATAAACTTACTTTTGAAATCATTAGATAAATATGTTAGTGGAAAAGTATGTTCATCTCTACAAATCTTTACTGATTCTTTAGTCTGTAATTGTAATAATCAAGAGTGTATGTTTGCGGCTTGTCCACTTTGTGAAGATTTCTTTACAGAAAAAGTTGAAAATAATGTAACAGACGGCAATGCTAAAATTAATTGGTTCCAATGGGTGAATGAAAATGGTCGTGCTGAAAAGAAGGCATTTAGTGGCAGTGTCGATGAGGCAATTAAATTATTGAAATCCAAGACGGAGCAATTCTTATTCCATGTCTACATCAAACGTGAACAGAGCAAATATTTCGAAAAACTGAAGTTGGAAGTGACGGATGAAAAGGTAGTATGTCAAGTAGATTTTGCAGAATACTTTGGTATGAAAGAACAAGATGAAATACAGTCTGCTCATTGGAATACAAAAACTTTGTCTATCTTTACAGCATATGTTTGGTCTAAAAGTCATGGATTGTCGTTTGCTCTACCTTCCCTTGACGTAACACACGATAAATTTGTTGTTAATTCAGCTTTGGAAATTATTTTAAATCACCTTAATACTGTTCTTCTTAATCTGAAGGAAATAAACTTTTTCTCTGGTGGAGCAGCTGGTCAATTCAAACAACGTTTTCATTCTCGTAATCTTGTTCAGATTGCTCATGAACATAAAATTAATTTAAGTTGGAATTCTTTTGCCACTTCACACGGTAAAGGAGTTGTTGATGGAATCGGAGGTACTGTTAAACGGCTGGTTTGGTCGACAGTGTTGGGAGGAGGGGCTTGTCGTGCAGCTGAGGATTTTATCAAGATTGCAAAACAGAAAACAAAGAAAATAATTCTTCTTAAAATTACGAGAAATGACATCAACGCAGCTACCCAGGTCCAAAAAAACGGCCCGTTAACGGCCAGTTAATCTCCAGTAAACGGTCAACACAAAAAACGGCGCGTTAACGTTATGGAAACGGCAGAAAAACGCCCAGTAAACAAGTCGTTAACTTGCC